TGTGAATGTGCCGACATTGTCGAAGGACAATAACAGGACAAGTTTATGGAAGTGTGGCGAAACTCCCGTAGTATTGTTTAGTAAGATTCATTTAAAAATGACCATGTAAGACGTCTGTTACGCAGAAATTATTCACCTCATGTCGTTTTCTCATTGTTATGTGTCCCCGTAAACACAGCATTGTATGCAGGTGACAATGCTACGTACACGTGCAATGAAATCGGTATCCTAAGAATATCGCAACGTCTTTGTGTTTCCTGTTGCAGTGCAAGTTTGTATACGGTAAACATCGTGAACGGTACAGAGTTCGGTAAATCTCGTGTCCGTACACGGTACAGAGGAGATATTTTCGTAGGCTGTGGTCCAATGTTTTTATACTTTGGAATTCAAACAAATAAAAAAACATATATTCGTAGCCATGGACAAGATTTAAAATGTAATCAACCATTTTATTCATCCATGATTTGTACAAAGATGCCATTTCTTATTTCCTGCATCCTGTACCAGTCACCCACCCCCTGTCCCCACCCTTAAAGCATGCGGTAAATTTCTTATTGTACACGCAGTTTACGGTAAACCTGGTTTATACCTCTTGTCGAAAGCACAGAGTTTGGTCAATCTCATGCACAATATAGCGTACGGTATATTACGTTTCGTCCACATATTTCAGAGTGTTGACACCGCGACACATATTCAGCTGTGATTGAAACTCTATTGTACAACTACAACAAAGGGGGGAACATACACTGTCCCTAATTCAGTTCAACCACGGTCACTATTTTTTAGTAACCGTGGTGCAATCCAAGCAAGGCACGTTTCTTTTAAATGAACATGACATACCAAATATGATGAACTTGTGTAAATTCAGAAAAAATTTTGTCATTTGTTCTGGCTTGGAGCCTGATAGTAAGGGAAACATTTACATAACCAGGACGAGTTGCGTTGAGAGACAAAGCATTTGTTGTTTCTGTTTGGAGCTGTAACAGGTAACAAAAGGTCTTGAATAAATTAATGGCGTGATAAACTCCACCTTGTATTTCTATTTTATGGAACCTCTTGTAGTTTGTTTGTGTGGTGTATAGTTACAGTAGATTATTTACAAGCTGATCCCAGACCAATTTGTAACAGCCGGGCTCGTAACACGGACCACATGATCCCCGAGCAGGGTGTGAGTCCGGTATGTGAGCTACTATAAAATCGCAATGCGACGGCTATGACCTCTATTCGCACACATGCTTCTGGTGCGCTAGTGTAACCTGCCGTTAACAATGAAACTGAAACTGAATGACGTTCCCACTTTTATTAAATACAAGTAGTAATAAAGAGAGTATCACAA